CTGAGGGAAAATATTTAGAGCAAAGAAAAAAAGAATGTGTTCCCATCACTATTAGATACGCCTCATTCCAGCGATGAGCTCTGAGGCACAGGCTTGGCAGTTAACAAACTGTGGGATCGCCAGAACACAAGGTTTAGTGCACCAAACAGACAGGTAGGGAAAGTTCCAGTCTCAGTATTTATCAAAGAAGTATAGCAGATTTTATCGCTCAAAGAAAATAAAATACTTAAAGAGAAAAATAACTGTTCGGAACTATAAACATTGTACCTTCAAAATATTAAATCCAGAAGATAAAAAAAATCCTATCTCATTTTCCAAGGAGGTAATGCCAGTTTTTTGCTTTGCTGGCATGAGTAATAATGCTACAACCATTCTGAGAAGCATTTCAGAAGTGTGTAGAAAGAACCACCAAAATATTTTACTCTTCAACCCAAGAGTCAATATTTTGACTCCTTTTCTTCAGTGTCTGTCGGTGGTGCTGTAAAAATAGCATATGCACAATTGTGTTCATTATAGCGATATTTATAGGGTAAAAATCTCAACATTCTACTCCCGAGGGACAGTACATAAATTATGGAAAGCTCACCAGCTTGCGTCAGACCAAATATTGAACGATTGCTCCAAAGATGAGTAATGTAATTATATAATCATTGAGTTTTTTTTTTTTTAAGATCATGCATGCATTTTGTCTAGACATGCATCTCCGAGCACTTATGCATATCAGAAATCTAGGACTCCCCTGGACAGGTCTCTATCCCTAAGTCTCCAGTGTCAGGTGATCACTTGGGGGTGACTTTCCCCCCTGAGCAGCTCTCATCACTTTCTGTTTCCTCTTCTACCCCATCCCTGCCCTGGTCTAAGCAAGCGCCTCTCCCTGAGACTCTCAGCAACCTCACTCATCTCTGCTTTGGAATCTACTCTCCATCTGCAGTAGGATGATCTGGAAAGATGCAGATTCGCTGTGTCATAGCCCCTCCTGCAGCCATCTGTGCGTTCTCATTGCTCCAGGATATGCCCCACCTGCCTCACCCAATCCCAAACTGCAAGATCTAGCAGATGCCTCGATCCTCTGCCCCTGGGGAGTCTTCTCCATCTCCACACTCCAGGTGGCCTCATTTCACTGACTGATTCTTCCTTGGGGCGCTCGCTCCACAGCTGTCCCTTCTGTGCTTCAAAAATTCTCTCTGGTGGCACAAGGGGTTAAGTCTCAGCACTGTGAACCTGTCTGCAACCACTGCAGCCTGAGTTCAATCCCCGGCCAGGGAGGTGACCCACATGGCGCAGCAGTCCTCTCCTGTCTCCTGCTGCTCCCCTCAGCAGTGTACTTC